TACTTCCTTATGTGCAAATGTTCAGCCTTTCTGTATTGGGAAGTTGAAAGGAGCTGCCAATTTGAACATACAAAGATGGAGCCAGTGAAGAACCTGAGGAATCAGAGATCTTTGCCTATAAAGGAAGAAGTACCAAAAGAAGAACCTCTGTCATTCCTATGACACGTGCTTTCCTCTGCATTCAGCACTTATAGGATCTGGTTTGAAAAATCATGCAAATAATCAATTAGGTCTCTTATAGTTTAAGGGCGTTTAAAAGAGTTTATAGATAATGCTATAAATTGGGTTTTGTCTCATTGGATAGGAAACATGTCTGAATTAAATTTGTACTAATAGATGTGTCTTTTTTGAATGAATCAGTCCCTTGTATATTTGAAGTTTTAGTAGTTTTTATACCAGTGTACATTTGTTTTTCTTAACAGCAAGCAGAAGAGGAGAATGAACTGAGAAAAAAGCAAGAACAGGCATTAATGGAAAAACTACTGGAGCAGGAAGCATTGCTGGAACAACAAGACCAAAAGGTAACAAACAAGCAAGCATTTGACAATTGTTGATGAAATTGTCAACGTCATAATGCCTGAGAACACTTGCACATTACAATAAACCAGAATTCCCAAGGTCTGTATTGATTGCTTCTGCTAGGTTGTTCTTGCTAGTAGAAGCATTATATTATTTAGAAGGTTATTATTACTACTTAAAAATAGAAGGCCAACCTATGGTTTGTTATGATGTACAGATCAGGAGCTCTGATGTCTGTTCTTGGTTCTAAAGCCCTGGTTTGTTCTTAGCTTTCAATTTTGAGTTTGTTTGGAAAAAACCCAGAGATCCCAGTTTCTATGTCCATGGGAAAAGCTTTTGCCGCCTGTTATTATTGGCAGATAATGCCAAACAGCTGTGATTGTTCTATAAGGCATGTTCATGGTAAGTCAGAATTTTGGGAAGTTTGGGTTATTCTGTCCCCTGCCCCACTCCTCCCAAAATATTGTAACCAACATTCAAGAAGCTTTTATGGAAATTACAAGAGTTTCACATTCCTATTCTATCCCATTCTGATCACTCCTAAATCTTAAAAAGGGTTTTCAGACCTCAAGTCTTAAGTGCAGTAATCTCTAATCCATCAATGTTTACCCCGAAATAATTGGCTGTTTGGCATTTTTAAACAATGTCATTTAGTGTACGGGCTTAAATGTGCAGTTTGTCACGTATGGAGGAAACATTGAAAGAAAAGCTTCCAAGAAAAGGGTACATTTTAAACATCTTTAAACATTAATGAAGACAAGCATTTTTCAGAAATCTCTCCCTCAAAGTTTATTATAATGTATACTTGCAAGTCCTATGGATCAGGCTAGATCACCTGGACTACAAGTACACTGCATCCCATATCAAATGCACTGAGTTAACTATTTAGAGGCCTTCATCTTCTCTGAGCCTAGTTGTTTGCATGCAGACATTTCATTATCCAACGAGGTAACATCATCAGTGCAAGTGAGCGTGGGATTTGCTCCCAGTTTCTATGCAGCAGCTTGCCCTGCCAGTTTCAGTAGCAGGGTGGATTTCCTGCTTAATTAGGGTATTGTTTTCTGCTTGATTGTTTGTCTGGAATTAACTCTTGTTTAGTTAGATGTTGACTGCTTGAGAGGATGTGTTCTTGTGTTCTCATTTCCTTCTTTTTAATTGTCTCTTTTGAATGGTGTATAAATATAATTGATCTCTATAGTACTTATATAGATGATTTCTGCACAATAAGTTGTATATACTAGAATTATCTCTAGAGAAAAAATCATTTTAATGCATAAAGCATTTGCAAATGTGGCAAGATTGCTTCCCTGTTTGTTTATGGGATAAAAAAATATTACGAACTATATAATTACAGTGTTCGTGCGTGTGTGTGTGCATGTGTGTATGCATGCGTGCATGCACTGATCATAAAATGATCAGAAATCTTTTTTTTTATTTTGCCCTTTTGAAATAATTTTGGCTTTATGGCATTTTTGAACAATGATATTTTGCAAGACCAACTCATGCTTTTGTTATTTTTGTTTGCTTCCAAGCAATCTAGAAATCAGGTGGCAGGGTTAGGAAGTACTTTGAAAGAGTTTACTAAAGAAGACTATTAAGTTACAGATCAGGCTGAAGATTCTAAAAAAAAAAAAATCACAATTGCATGCAGAGTATCCGAGGTTCAGTATCTACCTTTTGAGAGCCTGGGAAAGACTTTTGGGTTGCAATCCCATAGCCATTCAGTACCGATCAACATTTTGTCATTGCTCAAGTTGGTTGGGGCAAATTTAAATCTGAAGTATCAGAAAGATATCAAGTAGCTTATCACTGAAGTAGAACATGCTCATCCAGATGAGCTGCTCTGACAATGATGACGAACGAACCTTTTTCGTCTCAGGTGCCAAAAGCACACATGCGCATGTTTTCATACG